AAGGTCTGAGTGACAGTGTGACTGAAGGGATTCTTTATTGTTTGACATATCCAGTTCATATATTGATTTACCTTATATTAAGTTGTATCAATAAACAATCATTTTCCTTTTTAAAATCCATACCTTTGTCTGAGGAGTCAGATATATGTGTGTGGTTGGTGGCAGTGTGTGTTGAGAAAGAGAGTGTGAAGTGGCGTCCCCTCTGTGACGTAGGAGGAGGCGGCCACAGCCTCAATTCTGGTCAGTGAGGCCAATGAAGTGCTTGCAAAAAACAAGCCCAATTTCAGACCAGGTTTGGACCCTTTCAGCAAGGGCTGGTAGAGGCAGCCGGCTGTCCTCGTGCGTTTCAGTGAGTCTCCTCCTCCTCACTTTAGGTGACTGAGGGTGGCTGCCATGACCCATCAGGTGTTTCAGGCACCACAAAGCTGGTGGGGCTGAAGTTCTTCTAGGGCAGGAGGCTTGAGCATCCTTCTCCTATGGCCTCAGCTTCTAGCCACAGGCATGGTGCTCGCAGTCTCTTTCCAGGGGCTGTTGTCTTGCTTCCAGGCCCAGCTCTTCAGCTACACAGAGAATGGGATCCAGCTCCTCTGCTGCAGACCCTGGGGCCTCCTCCTCCTTGGCTGACCCCTCACCGGGCATTGTAGGCCCCGAAGACCCTGAAATCTTGCTCCTGCCCTCCTGAAATGCTGCCAACGGGCCCTCCTCATGGCCCAGCTCCCAAGAGACACCTGGGCTTCACTCTCCCAGCTTTCCCAAGAATCCAGAACAACTGCTCTATCCATGATATCAGGGCAGTATGAGGTTAGGCCTGATGGCCTGCAGAGGCATTGGCAGTGACCCTGTCACGTAGACACACTCCTTCGTCAAACACCACACCACGGTTGACAAAAACTACTGGGATATACAGCAGTACTAATAGGGACAAACTCCCTCATTATGTTCCCTGAATAGATCATCCACCTGGGTTAATAAAACCCTCTCAGTACTGTAACCAGTCCAAAAGGTGAGCCAAAGTGGATCCAGATAATACATCTCAAGTATTGTGCCCAAAAATAGAACACTGGAAACCAGTTTAGTTATTTAATATAGTGAAGTGCAGAGAAGGCTTTTTGAGTTAAAGTCTAATACTATAAGTGCCTCTCTTAGACAAGGTGGAATTCCCAGTTTATCTTAAGAGGCATTCACTACTTCCCTTACCCAGTCCTCCCCAGATGTTTTTATGAGCCAGGAAGGGCGAGGATCCAGTCCATGGTGGGTGTCAGTTCTGCAAGGATCTTGTTTACATCTTCAGGCTGCACAAATTAAAATGAACCCAAGAACATAGAGAAAGCAGGAATCTGAAGTTATATACATGGGATTCACATCTCATCTATATTTTACATATATACAGTGGTGCCCCGCATGATGATGATAATCCGTTCCATAGAAATCGCTATTTAGCGAAATCATTATCATGCAAAATCCATTTCCCCATTGGAATGAATGAAAACCCGTTTAATGCGCTCCAATGGGGGAAAATACCTCGTCGTCCTACGAAGATTGCCCATAGGGAAGCCATTTTGCGAGCGCCGATCAGCTGTTGAAATGGCTGTCATGAGAAGCATGGGTCCCGAAAACACAGGGAAACCATTTTGCGGAGCCGCCGATCAACTGTAAAAATCGTCGTCTTGCGAACAAACGGTTCGCGAAGCATGGACCAAATCATCATCCAGCGAAAATCCCCCATTGGAATGACTGTTTTGCAAATCTCTATAACAATATATAAACCTCATCGTCATGCGGATTTGTTTTACGAGGTTGTTATCTAACGAGGTACCGCTGTACTCTTGGGCAACACTCATAAGAAAAATACACCTTGTTGATGCATGAATGTCTGCTAAAGAATCACTGATATGTATTCCCAAAGGCTTTCACGGCTGGGATTGGATGGCTGCTGTAGGTTTTTCAGGCTGTCTGGCCATGTTCTTGAGGTTTTTTCTTCCAAACATTTCGCCAGTCATTGTGGCTGGCATCTACAGACGACAGGAGTCAGACCTCTGTCTGTCCTCTGGTGCAGTTTGTGGGATAGTTGAGTATTTATAGCTGTGGGATCAGCTTTTTGTCTTTTTCAGGAGATTGGGTGATTATGATGATCTGTGTGTTTTTTGTTGTGGGTGTATCGTTGTGAAAACTCCAAAAAACTTACAACCAATCACTGATATATTTGGGAAAGTCACTGTTTCTTTGTATCTGCTTCCTATTTGTAAGATTGGCATTGGAATGACACAGATGACATTGGAAGAGAAAAATGCTCAAGACTGCAGTGTAATTAAAAACATGACCAATAGTAACAAGACCTAGTTGGCATTTTCAGACATCACATCTCTCTCTCTCTCTCTCTCTCTCTATCTACTGTGCAGATGCCCCCAATTTTCGAACCCAAAATTCAGAAATCAGTATTTTAAACATTAGAAAGGAATACGTTTTTATTTAGTAATTAGGCAACATTTACAAGGTAAATGATATTATGTATCATCTTTAGATGAACAAATCACTTTATTCAGCCTCTGTTGCAACATTGTTTTCTTCTTCATTACTATTAGTTTCAAACGTATCAGTTTCTTCAACTTCTATTGCATCATTGCTGTCTATTGAGTCACTGTCTATGTATATGAGATCATCCTCAGTTCCATCCATGGATTGCTGATTCTACATTTATTGAAGGACTTCACAATCACCTCTTTTTTGAGGCTATACCATGAGTTTAGAACCCAACTGCTAACTTCTGTAATGGTTGTTTTTTTCACTCTTCCTTTTGGTGTCAAGATACCACTTTCTTTTCAAATCCATCTATTCCATTCTTCTCTCATCAGGACTTTAAATGGCTTGTTGATTGAAACATCTAGTGGCTGTAGCTGACCTGTACGTCCACCAGGAAGAACTGCTAGATGCGTTCGCAAATCCTATGCAGACCTTTTTGTCTTTTCTGTCAAATCTGCTTGGAACTGATCAAAGACAAATAGAGCTGGCTTCTTTAAGAGCCCTCTAGGTCCAAACCTCCAAACCTTTGCAAACCATTATGTCTTCATTCATCCATCCCTTCTCATGAACTTGCCATGTGGTATGGTCTCTTTAAGATGTTTTCCTCTTAAAAATAAGAATAGGAGGCAGCTTAGTACCATCTGCACAGCATGAAAGCACAGCTGTATAGTGTGTCTTTTCATGGCCACTTGTTTTGATTGCCACTGTTTTGATTCCTTTCACACCAACATTTCTGTTGAAAGGCACATCAAAATGGAGAGGCACCTCATCCATGTTTGAAATCTGACTTGGTTCAAAATCGTATTTTTTTCCAAAGTTGTATGACATAGGAGTGAAACAGCTAGATTCTATCCTCATAAACAGGTGGCATTTCCTTTGCTAACTGTGTTTGTGCTCTCATGGCCGACCCTTCTATCCTCATGAAACCGAAGCACCATTTTGCCTTTCCTGCAAAATCAACCATCTTCATTTCACTTGCAAACATTCTTGCCTGATACTGACAACGCTTGGTTGATACACATATCCCACTCTGGCGCTGCTCCAAAATCCAGGTCGTCAGCCTCTGCTCCTAGTTTGGCCATTTTGCTGATTTTCCTCAAGGCTTTTTTTCCCTTTTTTGGCAACTTAAGGAGGTGTTCTTCCTGTTTTCTCTACTGTCTGATCATACACTGAGTGGAAGGCAGTCCGAACTGTCTGCAGCTTTATTTCCATGCTTGTTTGCATAACTGATTACATTCAGTTTGAATTTTGCAGAATATTTTATTTATTTATTTATTTATTGGACTTATATACCGCCCCATAGCGCTACAAGCACTCTCCGGGAATAAGACATTCTCTTTTTTTAAATTTTATTTTCTGACATCTTTATGGGCTCAGTGATCTTTACCAGCCATGTCACACTAACTACACCAATGATGGCTAAGCCTGAGTGCCCAAACTGGGGGGGGGGGGGAAACAACTCNGGGGGGGGGGAACCAACCTGGCAGGTGGTAGCAGCAGAAGCGGAAACAGAAGCGGAAGGGAGAATCCCAGGCACAGAGGTGCTGCCAGACCCCACTCCGGATCCGCCTCCAGTTGAGCCCAACCACACCACTGTCTACAGCTCGGCCGTTAGGAACACGGACAGCCCGCCGCAACCAGCGCCAGCTGCTTCAGATCCTGGCCCACCACCCATCAGGCCCCTAGTACTGTGGCTGCAGACGCCTCCTCAGGTTCAGCTGCCAGGAATAGCAATCTGGCGACTTATGGCTCACGTGCCCAGAGAGAAGTCTCTGTGTGTCAGCTATGGCACGTGTGCCATAGGTTCGCCATCGCTGGCCTACACGCTCTCCTCAGCATCAGCTTACATCATTTGCATAAGGCTAGTGATTGTCTCGGCAAACAGAGACAAGCTATCGGACATTTCACTGGTGACCGGAGGCAGACGGTTTGCAGAGACATACGGTAGGCAGTTTCGCAACTGCGTGGTTTTCTCCTCGGCTTACTTCCATGCAAAAGACCCTGAATTTTTACTATTAACAATTTTAGAAAAAAAATATCATCTTTTACATGAAAACAATACAGTATTCACTGTGTGCACAGAAAGGAGATGGGGAGGAGCAGTCAAGTCTGCATCTCATGTAGAAAGAAAGAAAAAATGGTTGTAACAAGTTGTTTGCTCAAGACAATCTTGGCTAAGCAGCAAACTGGCATCATTACCCTAAGGAAAAGCTCCAAAAGGAATTAAAAACAGCAGTTTCAATGGTTACCTCGATCCAAGACCTCCTAATGCAGTAGGGTCACTGGCCAACTTTTCCACACAAACGCAAATGTGAGTGCATGCACACACATGCACATATGTGTGTGCCTCTCTATGTATGTACAGAAAAGATTAGAGTTGCTCTTTCCCACATACAAAAAGCTAAGCACAGCTGCTCCCTTTTCAGAAAGCCTTTTTTAAAGCAACCACAATATTAGAAAAGAGTTGTCGCTCCACTTACCATCTCCATAAGCTGCTACAGCCAGTGAGCTGTTTATTCTCACAAAAGAGACATGTGGCCAGAATCCAAGCTCATCTGACTCATGCTCTGCTTCGAGGACAGTGGTTGTGTAATCCCAGGTGCGAGTGTCCCACAGTTTCACATCTCCCGATGTGTATCTGGAAAACAATAAAGAATGCCAGTTCCAAAAACCTGGAGAAATAAAGCCAGGAAAGGACCAAAAACAGCAGGACAACAATCCCTGATAGACCCAGGTTGTTTCTTCCAGCAGCACAAGAAACTTGACAGAGTAGCCAGTCTCAGGATCATGGTGGCAGACGATCCACCAACCAGCCACAGATGTTTTTGATAGCAGCAACACCTCCTGCTCCTCACACACTTCCCAGTCTATGGCATCCACCCAATAATCCCCCTCTCCGATTTTGTCCTCCTTAGGTCCAAGTCTCACCATGGCCACACACTCAACATCTCCTGAGGTAACTGGTCCCATTGTCATACTGCTCTAATAGTTAAGACTTTTTCCTGATATTCAGCCTAAATCTGGCTTCCTGTAACTTGAGCCCATCATTACGTGTCCCTGCACACTGGGATGATCGAGAACATATCCATACCAGAAGCACTGAAAGAACAAGTTAGTTACTTACTGTAACTGTAGTTCTATGAGTGATGATCTGTAAAACTCAACAGTACTGGGGATCTATTGTACCTGCGGAAAAACAATAGGGAAATTTCTATACCTAAGCAAGGTTTTTGGAAGGCCAGCCCTCTCTACTGCACATGCCAGGCAGGTTATCCTCTCTCCATTCAGTTATTCTTCTGCCAGGTAAATCAGTAGAACATTTAGAGGGGAGGCAATGTGGGTTCACAGATGGCCACTCAAAGAACTATAGTTACAGTATCTTCTTCGGGGCTGCTGTCACCATCTCCAGTGATCACGGAGCCCAAGAAAGTAAATTCTGTCACTGCCTCCATATCTTCCCCTTCTATTTGCCAGGAGGTGATGGGACCAGTGGCCATGATCTTAGTTTTTTTGATGTTGAGTTTCAGACCGTTTTTTGCACTCTCCTCTTTCACCCTCATTACAATGTTCCTTAATTCCTCCTCACTTTCTGCCATCAGAGCGGTATCATCTGCATATCTGAGGTTGTTGATATTTCTTCCGGCAATCTTAATTCCGGCTTGAGATTCATCAAGTTCTGCCTTTCGCATGATGTATTCTGCATATAAGTTAAATAAGCAGGGAGACAATATACAGCCTTGTCGTACTCCTTTCCCAACTTTGAACTAATCAGTTGTTCCATATCCAGTTCTAACTGTTGCTTCCTGTCCCACGTATAGATTTCTCAGGAGATAGATAAGGTGGCCAGGCACTCCCATTTCTTTAAGAACTTGCCATAGTTTGCTGTGGTCCACACAATCAATGAAGCAGAAGTAGATGTTTTTCTGGAACTCTCTGGCTTTCTGCATAATCCAGCGCATGTTAGCAATTTGGTCTCGAGTTCCTCTACCCCTTCGAAATCCAGCTTGTACTTCTGGGAGTTCTCGGTCCACATACTGCTGAAGCCTGCCTTGGAGGATTTTGAGCATAACCTTGCTAACGTGTGAAATGAGTGCAATTGTACGGTAGTTGGAACATTCTTTGGCACTGCCCTTCTTTGGGATTGGGATGTAGACTAATCTTTTCTAATCCTCTGGCCACTGCTGAATTTTCCAAACTTGCTGGCATATTGTGTGTAGCACCTTAACAGATTTTAAATATTTCAACTGGAAAGTCATCACCTCCACTGGCCTTGTTAGCCAAGCTTTCTAAGGCCCACTTGACTTCATTCTCCAGGATGTCTGGCCCAAGGTCAGAAACCACACTATCTGGGTTATCCAGGACATCCATATCTTTCTGGTATAATTCCTCTATGTATTCTTGCCACTTCTTGATGTCTTCTGCTTCTGTTAGGTCTCTACCATTTTTGTCCTTTATCATGTCAATCTTTGCACAAAATGTTCCTTTAATAGCTCCAATTTTCTTGAACAGATCTCTGGTTTTTCCATTTCTATTCTTTTCCTCTATATCTCTGCACTGTTCATTTAAGAAGGCCCTCTTGTCTCTCCTTGCTATTCTTTGGAAGTCTGCATTCAATTTTCTGCAACTTTCCCTATCTCCCTTGCATTTTGTTTCCCTTCTCTTCTCTGCTATTTGTAAGGCCTCGTTGGACAGACACTTTGCTTTCTTGCATTTCCTTTTCTTTGGGATGGTTTTTGTTGCTGCCTCCTGTACGATGTTATGAGCCTCTATCCAAAGTTCTTCAGGCACTCTGTCCACCAAATCCAGTTCCTTAAATCTGTTCTTCACATCATTCTCGACCTGTAATTGTTGTCACAGTATTTATAATATTGTGGAGATTTTGAATGGCATGACCAGATTGAGTTTAGGGAGAGGTTTCTTAATCATGATCAGGATCTAGACTGTCTGATCAGACTAACAGAATCTATACCTTGCATCCCTATTGATTCTGTCTGATGGGGCTGGGTATGCTGAAACTCAATAATAATTATAGTCTTTGTGATACAGCAGTCTGTTTCCAGAACACCAATAATACAGGTTCACAGAGACCATGAAAGAGAATGCCTATTTACTCCTCTTGTCCATAGCACCTTTTCCCCCAGGACTTACTAGCATGAGAAGAAGAAATGCACATGCCATTCTTCTCTAGATCCAGCTAGATGCCCAATTCAATCTCTTGTTATTTTCTAGGTATCTTTTGGATTCACTGTTATTTGCTAGCGAAGAATGCTGTCACAGTCAACTTATAGCACATGCTGCACGAGAATCACAACTGTGATTCCTGAAGTTTCTATGTTTACTTAAAGGCGGATTTAGCAAGGATGCAATCTCTGCTTTCAGTTATTCAGCATAAAAACTGTCATGTAGAGTGTTCAGCTGCAAACCTACACACACTTATCTAGGAATAAGCCTCAATGGACTCATTTGAACTAACAGCTGAGCAGAAAAGAACAATTTATGTTTGGGATTATGCTGTTTACAAAAAAGGTGCTACAATGCTCTGTTTAGTTACATCTGCTTAATGTTTACTAAATAAACTGAATCCTGGACTGATTTTCTAGCTAGAAGAGGGAAGGGAAATAAAATAAAGGATATGCTTCAGTCAGACAGATTCTGAAAGAGGTAGAAAAAAGCTGGGTGCTGTCCAAATAAAAGTGGTGCTGAAGAGGTTGGCAACTTCCCGCTATTAAAACAACAACTGCACAAAACAGTGGAAAGCTCAAATAGCTCTGCCAAAAACAATCTCTCTCCAGAGCCCCAGATGTCCTTCTCACTCCTAATGACAATTACTTTCAGCCAATTAAAGACTCAGCTATCACTGTTGCATTGCTAGTAAGCATCCTTTGGCCCCTGAGGTTGATGGCTGTCTGATTAGCATTCATGCAAATCACAACTGCAAGTTAAATACACACAAGCCAATAAACACACAAAACCTAGCCATCTTTCAATCCACAGCACCAGTGTTGACAAACACCTAAATTTCTGAAAATATTTCTTATTGTTAGGAGGCCAGGGACATTCTAGACTAGTAAAACAGATTAAAAAATGTTCCTTAGTTGACTTGGAGGACATATAAAAGGTTGAACACTTTGTGACTAACTAAATTCAAATGTATACAATCTTAGGTGTATGTTGCTTACAATAAAATAAGCCAGTGGATAGTAGGTAGAGTACTGGACTGTGACTGGGGAAATTCAAGTTACAATCTGTACAGAACCATTAAACTCACTAGCTGACTTAAAAGCAATTGTTCTCTCTGTCTGTTCTGCCTCTCAGTCATGCTGTGAGGATAAAAGTCACGAAGAGAGCCATGTGCATTATCTTGAGCTCACTGGAGGGAAAGAACAATAGAAAACCCAATAAATAATTAAAATTATATTGGAAAATTTCAGGTTTGTATGCAAATGGCAGCGCTTCTTTAGAACACAGTGCCCACCGGTGAAAACTGGGGAAATGTGGTGGTGCTGTGGGCTAAACCACAGAAGCCTGTGTGCTGCAGGGTCAGAAGACCGGCAGTCGTAAGGTTGAATCCACCCAACAGAGTGAGCTCCTGTCGCTCTGTCCCAGCTCCTCGCCAACCTAGCAGTTTGAAAACATGCAAATGCAAGTAGATAAATAGGTACCACCTTGGTGGGAAGGTAAAACGGTGTTCCCTAGTCATGCTGGCCACGTGACAACGGAACCTGTCTTCGGACAAGCACTGGCTGTACGACTTGAAAAACGGGATGAACACCGCCCCCTAAAGTCGGACACGACTGGACTAAAAAAGTCGAGGGGAACCTTTACCTTTTTACCTTTTTTAGTCCTATAAAACAGTTTACCTCATATATTTTTAAAAGTTTAATAACCTTAGATTCTCCCATGTTCCATTCAACCAACTAAGCAGAAAGACTGGTAGCAAGAATGTCGGCAGCAGTAATACCTTTGCAACTATCGCAGAAATGTATACCTTCAGAGAAGAGTGCGACAAGCCACACTGAAAGAGAAGAAACCTCAGAAGAGTGTCCAGTGATGTGGGGCACACAGGTAAGTCGTGTTCAGCTGCAAAGTCACAGAAAGACTTCCATTTACGCACATATGTGGCCAAAGTAGAGGGCCTACGGGCTCGACTAAGGACGTCCTCTACCAAAGGTCCAGCCTCCAGGCTGTGTGATACAGGGACTCCAGATCTGGATGGAAGAGTAGATGACGGAGGTCTGGGAGCCAAAAGTGACTCACCGCCATCTGAAGTAGTGAGGCGAACCAGGGCTGGCAAGGCCACCAGGGAGCGATCAAGATGGCATTGGCTTGGGCTTCACGAATCTTGATGATCGCCTTCTGGATCAGAGGTATGGGAGGAAACACGCACGCGAGTCCCTCCGTTCAGGGGACCATGAATGCATCCCCCTTTGAGTGGCTCCCAGCCTCTGCCCGGGGGCAGTACCTGTCGCATATGCAGTGCAATCAGGAAGATGTGGCGAAGGTAGCAACACTTCCAGATATGGATTGTAAGATACAGAAATTGTGATGATTTGTGTTTTTATGTGTTACGAGAATGGGATATGTAGTCCTAAGATTGTCCCAATAGCATCCATCTTGATTTAATGTCTGTGTCTGTGG